ATGTTCAGATGGGTACTTGCGATTCTTGCGATTGGCGCGAATGGCGCGTCTGACTCTAATGCCAGCCTAATGCCGTGCTCAAGCGTACTTTCCATTTTTTCTTCATCGTGTGTGCAGTCGAACGCAAAGATAAGTTCATACTATAATGCATCTTTTCAGGAATATCTCGGGTGCTGATCTTCTTTCGTAGAGATGACGAATCCTCAAGAAGAGGTATGCGCCCACGTCCTTTTTAGTTCCCATTTGAAGTGTTCTTTCATTTGCATGTCTACTGCTCTCCATTTGAGTATTACTTACTGTAGGCTGTGGCTGAAAAGAATCTGGGAAATGCAGCATATAAATTGAAGAACTTCGAAGAAGCTCATAAACATTATGATAAAGCCATTGAACTCGATCCTTCTAACATTACGTTCTATACTAATAAAGCAGGTAAGCTTCGATTTTTTGTTGATTTTTTGGTGGTCTTTCCTTCCATTCTTGTGTGACTCTTCATGTTATTTTTCTTTGTTTTGCCGTATTAATATAGGTGTTATGGTGCCATTTCAGCCGCCTATTTTGAAGAGCACAAATATGACGAATGTATTGAAGTTTGCAAGAAAGCTGTTGAAATCGGACGTGAACAGAGGGCTGATTTCAAACTGATTGCGAAGTAAGTTTTTGCTCGTAATGCGTACAATCGTATTTTATGATGCTCCATTCAATGACGGTCGAACCGCGCTCATTCTCAACATTTGGAAGTTTCGGCGAAAAAGAATGGATGCGTATCGATCAGGCAGTTCAACACGGTTCTCCCAGAGTTATGGGGAGGACGGTGCTGGTGAATCTATGCATCCAACCCTTATCGGTGGTTGTGAATTAACCTAATCTTAATACTTGATTCTCGAAATTGGTTTGCGAAAAGCTTGAGAAAAAACGGTAATCCATTCAGTTTGTATGTAATCCTTCCTGCAAAGTCCTTGAATCATTTGTTCTATGTCAGAGTTCGAAAGCATACTTTTTCGAGGATTCGCCGATTCTTCCAAAACGTTGCACATGGCCGCGCTTATAGGCCGTGTCATAGCTGCGATCTTGAGATTTTTTGTAAAGTGGAAAAGTATCGGTGCAGAATCGCGCAGTCAGTACGTATATATACCCCACTTAAATTGCAAAACAATCAGCAAGTCCACGATTGTAGGAAACGGACTCCTATGGTCATTTTCAAAAGAAAATACAAGCACCAGGTCCCATCCAGTGTGGGGGAATGTGGTTGCGATAGTTGGTGTCACATACAAAAATTTCAGTTTTTCTAGGGGATGGGAATCTCTCAAAGTGCGGGAACCGCTTCGCTTCCGCTTTTATACCCACACAGGAGCCCTCTACTGTGCAAAATTCAAAATTACTGTAGGCTATATGAACTGACGCACCACATGTCCATTTTACTAGATGAGACTCCGAGCACCTTTGCGGAATCATCCTTTCGTTAGCTTCTATTCAAGCATCATCAGTCTTTCTCCATCTGGGATGTGTTTTAGTAACACGGGAGACTTTCATTGCATACCACGTTCAAAATCAGTACACAATTTTCATTATGGAGGTTTGGATAGTGGGATTCTGTAATTCTGTAACTTTTTTCATATTGTTTCGAATAGATATAATCAATAGTTCTGTGCCAGACAGGTTTTATTGCGCTTGACGCGTCGAGGAATTCATTGGTTCAAATTTAAAGCATTTCGAACGTTTTGTAATGTAACCATTCTGCTCAAACCAACCTACGCTTAGCTAAGTTACGTCTCATTTATGCGAACCAGAAATTGAGTGGATATTGGAAAAACAGTACGGGGCTCCTCAACTTCATGAACAGTGGAGCAAGTAAGATTGACCGGTCATGCACTGATTGTGAAATGTGTACGTGCAGTGCGCTACATTTTGCAGTCAAAGCTCACAAAGTAGAATAAAGACAGGAAGTCGTCACTTGATGAGATGCGCTCAGATTACAGTGCTTCATTCGGAGAGACTCACTGATTTTCTTGCACTGACATCGCTGTAGTTGGCCATTGTCGTGCATTCAATATCAAAATCACAATCCGATCGGCTCTCCCGTCTGGGCTTGCCAAGTCCCAAACAAAGTTGTTCCGGATGTTTGCCTCTCTTGAATCCAAAGATTGATCACGTAATTGTTTTCAGAGCCATGGCTCGTGCAGGAAATGCGTATTCAAAAAAGGAAGATTGGAAAGAGGCTCTGAATTGGTATGAGAAGTCCGTGTCCGAGTTTAGAGATCCAGTAGGTCTACAGCTTTGTTTTTTTTCTTCATTTATTTTGAGTACAGGGTGGACATGATAAAAGAAGCCTGATCGTTTTCCTCAGTCAGTGAACATTTTTTCAAGGAAGTAGTGAAGAAAGCGAAAGAGCTGGAGAAGTCGATCAAAGAAAGAGAGCGAATGGCATACATTAATCCTGAGTTGGCTCAGGAGGAGAAGAACTTAGGCAATGAATTGTTCAAGGTATTTATTGCTACATATAATACATTGCTAAGTATAGCTGGCTTATAGCGTTTATATGAGAATTTCAGAAAGGAGACTATCCGGGTGCTATGAAGCATTACAATGAAGCTGTAAAGCGAGATCCTGAAAACGCTATCCTCTACTCAAATCGCGCCGCGTGCTATACAAAACTATTAGACTTTCAACGAGCCCTTGACGATTGTGAACAGTGCATCAAACGTGATCCGAAATTCAGTAAGTTTCACAAAGTTGAGATCCTGTTGAGATCGCTTAGTCCTCGCTGTCCCGCTGATTTGTAAGGAGTAAATTACGCAACTGTATGGTGTGTGTGCTCATCCTTTCAATTTTAGTAAAAGGTTACATCCGAAAAGGCGCTGTGCTGACCGCAATGCGAGAGTGGACTAAGGCGAAACGAGCCTATGAAGATGCTCTCGCCGTGGATCCTTCAAATTCTGAAGCCCTTGAGGGGCTGCGTAATTGCTTCCGTAGCAACGATGAGGATCCAGAAAAGGTAAGTGTATAGTATCTTTAGGAAACCTACGTGATATTTTAAAAGTTCGATCTCTGCTATGCTACAATATTCAGGCTAGAGAACGAGCGCTTGAAGATCCTGAGGTGCAAGCCATACTCCGTGACCCTGGAATGCGATTGTTGCTGGAACAAATGAGTCAGGTAGGATTATAAAATACCATTTTCGAATATGACGGTAAAGGAAATTATAGGATCCTGGGGCAGTCAGAGAGCACCTCCAGAATCCTGACATAGCAGCGAAACTTATGAAGCTCCGTGAAGCTGGTATTATTCAAATGAGGTAATGTAATCAAGCGTAATCGAATCGCTGGTATGACCTCATGCAACTCTTCTTCTTGAGGTTTCTCATGTTTGATGTCATTTTAGTGTTTTAAGTTAGACGTACACATACCACAATCCTTATAAGATGTTTTCGAGGCATTCTGTTCTCTGTTCCACCTTCGATTTCGTAACTGCGATCTTTGTATGTGGAGTACATCTCGGTGTTTCTTCTCGTCTCATTACTCCTTTTTACGTGTTCACAGAATGAATGTTAAGATGATTGTGATGTTTATATGTTGAAGAGTTTTGTCTCATAATACATTTAATCACTGTTCGGCTTGGGTTATCGCGATGCTTCTCAATCAAGGTTATGAAGGAATTCAGAACAGAATTTCAAAGTTCTTCATTAGCTAGCATAATATGCAGCAGATACTGGCTGTTTTTTATGGTAGAAAAGAGAAACGGTACTTAACAACGGCTAGTTCACTTGCTGGATGGCCTTGTTAAGCAAATACGGAATTGAAGTCTGAAATCATGATTATACGACTTCACCGCTCTCGAATAATTTTCGCTTCAACTGGATTATCTCTGAATTCTATAAAGTCTTGCAATGTCAGGAAATACTTGAATCTTCACTTATGGTTCGCAACGATAACGTTGGTGTGACGATGGTAGAATAATCTAATATAATACTATAACTTATCATTCTTCCTGTTATTGTTGTAGTGAGCAACGCTTGTGATGGAGTACTTTATAGTTCGCGCCAAAAGCGCGTTTTGTCGCGAATGAATGACGTTTCAGCAAGATTGACATCGATCCTCCTTGCACCTTACTAGTAGGAAATTCTTTGATGGTTACTGATTGGTCATTGCGGTTGCGCTACTGCTTAGATCCGTGACTAACCACAATTACGCGTTATATGTGGGATTTTACTAGAAATAAAATTGATGGCGAGGCGTTATAGCTGCCCTCCATTCGAGCGACGTTATGTTTCAGGCTTGATCGGAATCACGTCTGTGCATTGTTTGCTGATTAAGGCCAAATAAATACCCGTTCTGCGTTGTCAAGGAAGGGCATATCAGAGGAGTGATGTCCCCGTACATGTGTTTTTTGTTTACAAGAGATTTAAGTGTCACTCTCGCCAAGCGAACTTAAAGCCCTGTGTAGAATTCATCGAGAGCTCTCAGAAAGTGTGTGACCATCAAAGCTAAGATTGTTCAGAGATCGTGATGATAGCTAGGCTGGTGTCAGAGTCCGCGATCCGTCGCAGGTTTCGCTGATTTTCGCGATTTGCGCGAAACCTGCGACGGATCGCAAAAATTGCAAGTGCCCCATTTGAACATTTGAAACACTGAATATGAAACAAGTGGAATCATGAGCAGTCGTCATTCAGCCATCACTATCAAGCAGAAGCGCGTGAATCGCGTAATGCGAAATCAGCGAAACCCGCGACGAATCGCGGACTCTGACACCAGCCTAATGTGATCACGGAAAACGTGCCAGATCCAGCCAGCTTCGATACCGAATAGCGCCACATTGTCCAAAAGTATGACATTAAAGTACTTGCTGGCATGAATCCAAAAGCGGTTTTTGGGATAGCGCTCGAAGGAACAACTGACCACTCATTCGTCTTGTATAGAGCATAATTGTATGAAATATATAAAAGAAAGAACTGGGCGGAGCAAGCGTTGTCCAGTCTCTTTCGGGTACATTACGCTTCTTTCTCCTATTGGAAACATTGTGGATTACAATTAGCATAACAAATGTAATTGGCTAAATGTTGTGTGCCAGGGATGAGCTTATCAAACAGCGGATCCAATTTACATTCGTGTTTGGTTTCGGTTTTTTAGGGAAATGTTTGTCGGAAAACACTATTTCTCGATTTGACGGGTCGTTCCTCCCTTCAGTGCTTCTATTATTGCCACTAAAATGATGAGTCACTCGATAAACGCCTACATCAGCAAATTTAGAGCAATTGATGGACTGAGAGGAAAACAGTACTTGCGTTCAACCCAAAGCATCGTTTTATTAACTTCCTGCAGGCGATGTTTGCGGTTACATTTTTATAATATTGCTGTTAGCGCTCGCTATTGAGCGAGGTATTGAGTTTATTATAGTGCAAAAATTTAAAAATGTATGGCAAAAGTATTGCTCAGACAAAACGTTTGTGAGGTATATTTTCGTTTACATACAAAAATATCACCGTTGGAATGCTGTCCACATTTCGTGATGAGTGGTACACTTTATCGTAGCCGAAGTTCACGCACTTTTTCGGGCCAGACAGCGCCGCTTTGCTTGCAAATTTCAGTCAACAATATCGATTCTAGCGCTTGCTGAATCATTGCTTTTCACTCTTACGCAAACGATCTTTCGTAAGAACTCAATGTCATCTTCTCTTTCCTATTGTCACGTGGCAGTGTATCGACACGTTGGTCGCTCGCATGAATCTTTTGAATATATTTGGAATATTAAACAGTATTTCAATTTTCAGTTTATGATGGCTTCTGCTCCTCCGCTTGAAGAAGAAGGAAGCAATATGGTCCGAAATCCGGTAAGTGTCTACTAGTATCAATGATATATATTGGAATTCCTATTATTTTCTTCTATTTTTCCTGGTTTCATCTCTTTCTGTCATTTCTAGATATGTACACTGAAATTGGGTTATGTTATCTAAAGATCTTTACATTCTATCCTTCTTGTGATTTCAATCTCGCTAAGTAGCGAATGCCTTGGTACAGAAGGCTGCTCTCTAGTTGTCTCTGCGACATGACCAAGTTTTTATAGGTTTCATTCTCACCATCAGTCGGTAATTGAAGATGGCTGTAATCAGTTGTCAATAAATTTCGGGAACGAACTTGTTCTGGTCCTTAATTTTATGCGGTAATTCAATTATAACTGTTTGATTATCCATTTTATCATCTAATTTGGCTTGGGCGGTTTCGATGGTTGTGTCACCTTCGTTTGACTACCATTATTTGTCTAATTTTGCGTCAGACGCAGTGAGCATGGAAAACACGATGAGATCAGCATTGAGTGGCTGACAGGGAGGAGCATTCTCGAGAGCTCTTGAAACCGAGGGGTGCCTTGTGCCTTTCCCAAATCTATTTTAAGTGGAGCACCTAAATGCCGGTTTTGTAACAGTTGCACAATGTGAGCTCCACTAGACAGAACTGCAGATTAGACGGTCTTTTATGGATTTCTAGTCAGTCCTGTTTAACTGATTCAAGAGAAATAATAACGCCGTGGTTGTCTACTATTTTAAGTTCCACGATCGCTAAATAGTCATGTCAGTAAACTCACATGAACACTCGACTGTGGGCAAAATTTCTTCCATATCTTTATTCCATTTATTCGAGGATGATTATAGGTTCTGTTCTCTTTGCATAGCACGGTATTTTTCTCAAGTGACGTCATCACGATTAATGTGGACTATGCGGATATGTGCACGAAAACTGAGTGTCAAGTGACAGGTTGGAGCAAATACGGCAATACGCCTACTGGGCGAGACGTGACCAGCGCAACGCATCTGAAACAGATATATACATATTTGAAATTCTCGCATATTTTTGGCGATTTCAGCATTTTTCCAGGATGGACCAGCTGCTGTGACTTGGCCCATGGTCCAAGAGCAGGTGGTTCATGTTGAGAAAACAATTGAAGACTAGCTGCAAAACAAAGGGAAAAAAGGAAAGACCTTCCTGAAAATGAAAATACGGTGCAGCTCAAGGCGAGGATTGCGCTTGAGCTCGCGTTTCGCTCCAAACGCTAGTTGCGTCACATGACATGTGAGCGGATTTGGAGTTCCAATAAGAATCTCCTAAAAGTGTCCATTGTCAACTTTCCACGTTTTCTTTCGTTTTTTTCGAAAATAATATTTCTCAGTTTTGGCGCCCTCCGATTATCTGCTTCAATTGTTGTTCCCACATTCTGTGAATGCCATCTCTTATAGAGGTCGTTCATGCTATTCCACATTGAGTCCATATCTACAGCAGGTAAGAGTTAAATTCTTGTTGCGCACCTGAGTTAATGGTAATCATTTGGAGACCATACGAGCCAGCTCGCGTTAATCGTGTTGTTTGTGAAACCTGTTCGCTGTAGCAGCTGTCTCGACTTACTCTAGCACGCGGAGAATTGCACTGTAAAAAGTTGATGAAATGAAACATCGCTTCTGAATTCTTCGTTCTTACGTTGGAAAATAATGGAGCGATATTTGCTTTAGTGGAACCATGAAAATTAGAAGGCTTGTCAAGCAAGGTCGTATCCCTTGTTTCGACGTTACGTTTCTTAATTTTTGCTTAATTCTCATTGCGTAAGTAGAACCACACCGTTTCACTAGAAACCTCGAATTTTGGAAAACATGATACGATCAGGTTTTTCTTTCATCACTTTCTAACTCAGTCTCTTGACATTCTCTGTCCTAAGCAGTTTTTGCAGTCGTCATCCTGCTTTTAGGTTCCAGTGATCCTTCGTTATGGATTTATTTTAGCTAATTTCTGGCGCATAATTTCTCAGACAGCTTGGCTGTTTTCGATTTTACTACTTTTTTTAATTTTTCGCGCTATTGTGCTATTAACTGAACACTGCTATTATTAACAGCACACCCTAACCTAGGGATAGGTGTTACTGCTCTTGTAGAGCTCCATTTTATTCTGGTTGAGGAAAATTGGTTGTCGGTTTTGACATCGTAGTGATGGGAGTGAGGTTCTTCTCAAGAAGGTGAACTGATGGCGCTCTTGGCACGCAGAGTTTGCAATTCTACGGCGGAAGACTGAAAGGAGACTTTTCCTGCCAAAGTCTCCAATTTCGAATGAATTTTCTTTCGCACTATGGCTCGAAACGACCCCGAAAAGCCAGACTTATTTCATTGTTTTTTTCGATTTAGAGGGCTGGCCAATCAAGCCGCTTGACGGTCCTCACTGCCCAGGTTATTGCAGTGTTGCTCAAGCACAGAAGCCCTCTCGTATTGCCAATTCTTGAGAAAGATAGAATTTGGAGGGGGTTAGGCTTTTGCTGTCAGAACACC